GTCCTCCTCCTTCTCCTCCTCCACAGCTGTTCAGTCGAATCTATTCTGACTGGTTCTTTATTTGCAGATCACTGCTCTGTCAGGTGAGGAAGAGCTTGAATACATATAGACACAGTCAAAAGACCTTTGCACAAAACCGTTAACAGAAAGATAGAGACAGAAGTGCTTTAACATGCAGTCATTTTTGATGCTGAGCTACAAAGTGATCTGATTTGCTTCCTGATGTGAAACATGTTCAACTTTTTCTTTTCTTTCTTTGATGGTTGCTGCAGTACAACTACTCTGAGATGCTATCTGTCTGCTATTGTTGATGTTGTCATCTAATGAGCTTGCAGCTCCTGTAATCAATCCAAGGCACATGGGTAAGCAGCTCCAGCTGAATGCGTGCTTGCTCACAGGCTTTTTTGCACTCAGAATTAAAACAGTGGTGTGCATAGGCATTTGAAGTTGTTGCACACATGCATGAATATGAAAACAGACGTTACAGCGGTTACTGTTTGCTGCTAAAGCCACATGGAATTTTGTTAGCCCTTCATGGATTGTGTGTCTATTAGGGGTTGTATGAACTAGTCAACTAGTCGACCTCTCTGCTCTGTAGTGACTTTTTATGCCTGTCATCGACTAGTCGCTGTCACGTGATAATGACCGGCAAGATGTAGTCCTCGGAAAAGACAGCAGGTGACGAGCTCCTGCGCGTCGGGAGGCAAGCGCTGTGCCAGAGCATCGGTACTGACACCCGCCGTAAAACAGACATTTAACCAAATTGTGACCTTTACCCTATTACAATTTAACCTTCCCCTCATCCCCCATCCTAACCTTAACCAGCTTGTGCATGCAAAGCTCTGATTGTTGACACGCTCCAGACATCTGCATCCTGAGCAAGGCCACAGTAACATTATCAAATTAGGTGTTGCCACCTCAAAAACAAATTTAACATGCAATCATTCATGTCGGCTCATATCCTTTTATGTTTTCTGTCTTTAATTTGTGCCTGATGCGTTTCGCTGCTGTGGAGCGGAGCGCATCACCTGTTTTGTCCTCCTGTGACGCACCTCACCGGTGCGGCCGGTGTGCACCCCGCTGTTTTTGCGGTCGGTAGATCTTTTAGAACTGCAGTTCAAAGGTAACTCATGAGGTGAATATATATGAACCCATGTAGTAGCCTAGTTTCTCTTTAGGATTGAGAGGAGATGCAGGAAGATAATAAACAGACAGGACAGAAAAATAGTCAAATAAAAACAAGTTAGTTTTTGTACCTGGTGGTTGCAACAAACAGACACCATTGAAGGTAATCAGAAGTGAAGAACAGAAATTGAAATAATTATTTTAATGTTTAGAGCAGCAGGATCTCTGAGAGGCTGCAGGCGCATCAGTGAGCTTGCGGCCGCTGCACGGGGGGGGGGGGGGGGGGGGGGCTGAAGCAGAAACTACCGTTGTTAAAAGAAATGTGTTTAACTTTGGAAATGTGGGCGCAATTTCAATTGTCAAAAAAAAAACTCCGGCGAACCAACCGACCCCCGCGCCGCTTCAGGTGTATGACGTCATCAATGACTAGTCAAAGTCGACTCGATTTTCATTACTTGTCAGTAGACTTTAAAAAAAATAAGTCATGCAGCCCCTAGTGTCTATATCAATGACGTCTAAAGCTTATTGGGAGGTGAAGTTGGAACCGTTATCTCTAGGACTCTGGTTCTTGAAGAGCAGCTGATGTTTTGTCATACAAGTCTCCATCCAGTTATGGCTTTTCCACTGCTGTGATTGGATGGTCAGGGTCAGGGTTAGAAGAGCATTTTGGTCTCTGGTGTAAGATATTTAAAAATAATGAAACATTTTCATTCATTTGGCCACAATTCTTCTAAAACCCTGAAAACACAAAAAACTGGGAACATTATGTGAAAAATCTCTTGGTGATTGGACTGTACCAAAGTACAGCGGTTGTATGAGGTTTTTGATATGCTGGCAGTAATACAGAGCGCACCTCTCTACCTGTCTGGCCTAGTGGTTCTGATCTGTCACCGGTTCCAACTACGGTCTGCAGAGCAGCATCTCTGAACCACAACACGTTGAACCTGGACGCAGATGGGAACAGGAAACTGAAATGGACAGGAGTGAGTGGAAACACCTTTCCTGGTCTGATGAGTCTGGATTTCAGCTGCAAATTTCAGGTGGTTGGGTTAGAATTTGGTGTTACCAACATGAAGAAATGGATCCATCTTGCCTTGCATCAATGCTTCTGGCTGCTTCTGGTGGTGTAATGTTTGGACTTTGGACTCCCTCCTGTTTCAGGATCTACAAGTGAGCCAGTGGAGTGGTGAGCAGAAGATAGCAGGATTTTGAGTCTTATTTCCTGGTATTTGGACATCACTCCTCTGATTGGCTAACAGCAGCACAACTCTACCTCTGGCCCAGTTTACATTGCAACGTTGATGTTTTATCTCCACAAATAACACGAGTCTGAAGGAGTTCTGCCATGTAGTGGAGTTGCTAATGCTAAGTTAGCTTCTATTTGCCGAGAGGAGCACTACTCTCTACTGAATGCTACAAAAGCATCCTTCCCCATCATGAGCCAAGACGAGTGAGCCCATGCATGTTAAATGTTCAATCTGACGTGCAATTGTCAAGGCTTTTCTAATTCCAGTGTTTCCCCGTCTATTTTTTGTTGGTGACTGATTCAGAAAATAGGTAGTGGAAGACTATTTTCACATTTAGTCTACATGTGAAATTCAGAGTGACCGACTGTATTTCAAAAGTAACGAGTAAAAAATGGTTCTCAGTGAACTTAGCCTTTAAAACAGTTCTGAAGCCAAAAGGCGATCCATCCTGGTACTAATAAGGTGAACCACTGAGCCACCTGAGACCTAAGCACTAATGACATTTGGATGGCTGGAGTTCAGCCGTGTATGAAATGATTAAGCCCCTTTAATGGCAATACGTTTCCTCCTCACTGGCCACAGTTTTGTCTCCGTTCATTTATATTGTTACTGCAGAGTCATTTAAAAGGATGATGACTGTCTATGGGTGACTGTCGTGAAGAGATTATCAGCAGCATTGCCACATATTTTTCACCTGAGTTGCTGCCCCAGTGAATAATCAGCGGTTATCGCACAAAAGAGCATGCTGACATTTTTGTTGTGTGTTTGTGCAAATCTGGCAGCTAGTGTCCATGTGATCATCATCTACGTTCACTAGAACCCACCTCGTGACCGGCTGGTTATCAGGTTATTTATTTATGCAGCTTATTTTATGTGTTTTTTGTATAAATAACACATTAAGGTTCAGACTTCTGCTGTCTTCAGTGGAAATATTAACAGTTCATTTGTGTGGTTCTACATGTCACCTCATGAGTCCCAAACTGGCTGGTTCAGACCCAAATACAGCTTCACTGTGACCTACACTGGGTCTTAAAATTTTACATGGTACTACACAAATTTCTTGTATTTATTCCAGTTTTTCTTGAGCAGCATAACTTTCCTTGTCTTTATGACAGACGTTACAGTAGAGCTACTGCCTTAAATTAATAGCAGAACTCCTAAATATATCAATCAATCAATCAAAACTTTATTAATCCCAGAGGGAAATTAGAGTTTCAGTACACACAATTCAGAGATCAAACATACATGGGCAAGACACATGACAAGAATTGGTGACTGTGGTCCTTCGCAACACGAGTCGCGCTACCAATCATAACCAATCTATTTCCTTCTACCTAAACACACACACATACACACACACACACACACACCTGCAAAAGCAATACCATAAATGAGTCAAGTATTATCAGCATACTTTTCACTAGAATGAAATATCCTGACAGGAAAAAAAAAAGGGTTTTAATCTAGACTAGGCAAACTTTTCTGGTTTCTTCTTCGCATAGGAATTTTACTTCAAGTTAGCTTTATATTTGCAGACTGTAGCAATTCTTAAAAGCTGTCATTAGCAATGCTGCAAACATAAAACTCTCAAAAACTCTTACAGCAGAGGTACAAAGATAAATAATCTGTGGCAAAAATAGGGAATTACCCAACCTAAAAAACTGTATCCACAAAACTATTTTATTTCACCCTTGAACATGTCTTGATTTAAATAGCAAATGTCAAAGGTACACAAAATACATTTTTTTCTCAGATATATTTTCAGATATAGTAAAATATGAAACCACAAAGTCACCAGGAAAAGAATAAGGAACTATCTTGTAATATGAATTTCTAAAACTACTACTTCCATAGATTTCAATTTAAAAACAAGCTTGTAAAATCAAAAAGAAAGAAAAATCTCTTATTAGTTGCCTGAAAAATTCTATTTGTAGCCTATTAAACAAACTAAATATGAAAAAAATTTATTGAACAACAATGTAATCATATATCCTAAAGGTTTGCACTTTTCTTTCTCCAGGTGTCAAAATGAACAAAAAACACTACTTATTATTCTAGTGCAATCAAAGGGTATCTTAAGAGGAGCTCAAGTGTCCGAGTGTGCCTGAATGCAACACTTGTTGCACCGTTTTAATTGTGCAACAGTCGGGGGAGGGTCCCAAAGGCCATCCTGGAGTAGCTATGGAGAAAGTGTGAATGCAGTTGGAAGGGACATTTTGTTGGTGTTTTAAGTCTGTGACTAAGTTTAAGGGGCATTATTACAACGGGCAAAATGGCAAACGTTAAAAAAGAGCTTGAATACATTGTTAAAAGTTGAAGACGTTTATTATTAAAACCTATCTGTTAGACACCTCACCAAATAAATACAACCAGACAGCCAATAACCACTGTAGTGATTCACCAAGCAGGAAATATTTGCTCCAACAGGTGCAGCCACAATCAACGTTATGCAGACTGTCGCACCACCACAGATGGGCATCATAACCAATATAAATAATATGATCTATAGTTAATTAAGATATATATGAATGTCAAAAAAATTATCCCGGGTTTGATTAAGAAACTTCAGATCATTAAAGCACATTTGTTTTGTCTTCATTCAGATGAAACACTCCTGTTGTCTTACAGAACATGATTGACAAGAATTCAGTCCCAGAATACAAGGTGGCAGAAGTGAAGAAGTCATGCTTCATCCTGCTCCACTACAGCATATCAAAGACTCTGTGGGATTGGCTCATTCTACTGGCAACCTTCTACGTGGCTGTCACGGTGCCCTACAATGTCAGCTTCTGGCCACATGAAGACTCCTTCACAGCTGCGCGCTCCACCATCGTCAGTGACATCCTAGTGGAAGTGTTATTTATCATAGGTAAGTGTTGAAGAAGGTTAAATGGGGATCTTTAACTTTTAGGTCTTTCTAAGTGTTTAGTTCATCACAGTAATATCAGTCATATTACCTTGTTTTTATTTAATTAATGAACAAACATCTCTTTGAATATTGATAGATGGCATGAGAGACGAGGTTCACATAATGTAATTTTAACCCTCCCACTGTCGCCATGGGTGACCCCGCCAGGAAAGTTGACCATTGAGCAGGATTGATGGTTTATCCCTTGAGGTCCATGTGGCAGGGGTGAGGTGGTGCTCACTCCTCACCCCTGCCACATGGACCCAAGGGATAAACCATCACTCCTGCTCAATGGTCAACTTTCCTGGCGGGGTCACCCATGGCGACAGTGGGAGGGTTGAATAGAAGGTAGTGCTTGTTATCTGCTTGTCACTGTCAGACTTTTCAGGGAAATCAGCTCTTTAACAGATATGAGCTCTTCTAAATTCTCTGTCATTGCATGACCAACCTGAGCATTTGCATTTATGCATGTGAGCCTTTTTTTTTACTCAACATGTGAATATTTCTAAATTTATAATATTAGCCCTCTGACTGGTCTAAAACAGACAGGGCGTGATTATGAAGGTTCAGGACAACTAGGCTGTCATCAGCAGTAACCGTGAGTCTAAACAAAAGTTAAACAAAGATCTGTGACTCAAAACAGGAGTCCTGTGTAATACACCGCCCAGCCATAATAAAGTTGCCACCATAAAAAGGGTTACACACTCTAATATTTCATTGGACTGCCTTTAGCTTTGATTACAGCACACATTCATTGTGACGTTGTTTCGATGAGCTTCTGCATTGTCACAAGATTTACAGTATTTCCATCCTGTGTTGCATTAATGTTTCACCAAGATCTTGCATTGATGATGGTAGTGTCTGACCGCTGCACAAAGCCTTCTCCAGCACATCCCAAAGATTCTCAATGGGTTTAATGTCTGGACTCTGTGGTGGCCAATCCATGTGTGAAAATGATGTCTCATGCTCCCTGAACCACTCTTTCACTGCATGAGCCTGGTGAATCCTGGCATTGTTATCTTGGAATATGTTGGCGCCATCAGGGAAGATGGAGTAACCTGGTCCTTCAGTATATTCAGGTAGTCAGCTGACCTCATTCTTGGAGCACATCCTGTTGCTGAACCTAGACCTGACCAACTGCAGCAACCCCAGATCATAGCACTGCCCCCACAGGCTTGTACAGTAGGCACTAGGCATGATGGGTGCATCACTTCATCTGCCTCTCTTCTTACCCTGATGCACCCATCACTCTGGAACAGGCTCCATCTGGACTCATCAGACCACTTTTTAATAATGCGTTGGACAGTTCTTAACCCAGTTTTAGTTGTTTCTGCATCTCCTTTGATGCTTTCTTTTCTTGATGCACGCCAACGATCTGACCCTTCTCAAACAGACTAACATATTTACCACGACCACCAGATGTGTCTTTTCACATGATTGTTGAAGAAATGAGAAACAACTCATTACACCAGTTGAGGTTAAATAACTTGTTGCCAGCTGAAAGATGATCGCCCATGCAGTAATTATCCAATAGGAGACTTGCACCTATTTATTCAGTTAAATCCAGGTGGCAATTTTTTAGGGTGCTGGGCTGTGTATGTCCTGTACAAAACCAGAGCAGACACAAAACTGTGCAAACAGACCCATGGTCCAATCAGCAGAGACACAGTCAAACAAGTCATGATAGGTTCAGAACATGTGGCAGATAAAAAGATTCATAGATTCAAATGACGCATGCAGAAGCAGTGGTCAACAGTGCAAATTGGGTCAGAACACATTTCAGTCATTTCTATCTTTTTACTGAACGTTTGCATTCTTCTGTTGTTTTCATGTTAAATAACTCAACAGCAAACCTCTTTTCTGGTACAAAATGTAACTGATTACACTCTGTTTGCAGACATTATCCTGAACTTTTGTACGACCTATGTGAGCCAGTCTGGTCAGGTGGTGTACGGGCTACGCTGCATTTGCCTTCACTATGTCACCACTTGGTTCTTTGTGGATTTGGTGGCTGCCTTGCCCTTTGACCTTCTGTATGTCCTCAACGTCACTGTGGTACGTGTTAAAATTCAACCTTTGTATCTTCATTCGATTTTAGAAATTACCTTCAATCTTTTGGCTTAATGTTCTAATTTTTTTAGTGAACCAGTGCATGGTGTCGGCTTGTCTGGCGTATTAAACTGTACATTTTGCTTGACCAAGTTGGTACAGTATGAGCCCAAATGGTATGCTGGGCAGAGAGAGTTACAGCTTTTAAAGATGGAAAGAGGCACAGTGTAGCACAACGTGTATATAAAATTAAATCTACTGAACAAAACATGGTTCCATGTAGAGATGTCTTAATTTCTTCAACTCAAAGGGGAAGCAGTAAACGTCAGGCTCTCCAGGCAAAAAAACAAACAAACAAAAGCATCTGGGTGAAAATAAAAACTGTTCTGATGAAACAAAAGCACAATGCCTAAACTCCTGTACACTGGAGAGAATGGCGGAAAGAAAGACAGACATCAAAAGCAAATATCAGAAATTAAAACTGCTCACCAGACAAGATCTAGAATTGTTTTCGACAGGATTAAGTTTAACAACCAACCAACCAAATGACAGATGCCCATGGGGGGAGAGGGGCATGGCACTGGATGACTGGAGCTTTTATACAGTCCACTGATGAGGAGGAAGTGATATCAGCTGTGCATCAAGGTGTGACAGCAGGGCTGCAAACAAACAAAACAGAATCAAGAAATCATTTTCTAGTCCTGAGAGGTCAGCGGACATACCAGAGGGACTGATGGTTATGCATTCATCTCTTTGTCACTCTGCTCTCCTCCATTCAGACTTCCAAGGTCCACCTGCTAAAGACGATACGCCTTCTGCGACTTCTTCGACTTTTTCACAAGCTGGACCGCTACTCTCAGTACAGCGCCATGGTGCTGACCCTCCTGATGTCTATGTTTGCCCTGCTGGCACACTGGATGGCCTGCATCTGGTACATGATTGGACAACAGGAGATAGAGACTGGTAAAAAATGGGAAATAGGTTAGTTTTTGTTATATTTTGCTTTCATCACTATGTTTACCTTTTTTATTCTCTCCTCCCTAAACAACATGCCAGACAGAGCAATGATAAGAGAGTTATTTAACGCCAAAAGGCCAACAAAATCTAGCTGCACTTTGCAGTGAGTTGATATTTTTGTTCCCACTCTGCTATAAATAGTTACAGCTTGCCTACTGGGTGTCTAGCTCTGCTCAGCAGTGGCAAAAACAGCCTACTCTACTGCTCTAATGAGAACCGTCTAACACCAGATCAAAAGCTGGAAAAAGGACTGCTGGCACACACACAAACACACACACACACACACACACACACGCACGCATGCGCACACACACACACACTCACACACTCACACTCGTTTTGGTTGTGAGCACCGTCATTGACTTACGTTCGTTTTAGTGACTGCATTATGCCTAACCCAAACCATTGTTTCAATTGAAATTAGTTTATTTGCATAGTGCCAAATCACAGCAAGAGTCATCTCAAGGCACTTTATTAAGTAAACACTGAAACTGAACCCTCTTTTCCGTGCATTATTCTATTCATTTCATAAACCCATGATTTGGGTATGTACTGCCTCCTGTCGCCAGGAGAAATGCACATTATCACTTTAAAGAAATTAAAACATTAAAACCAGGGGAGGCTGTAATGCGCCAGCCAGTGTCCTCTGCAGGAGGCTCTCACAGCTCAGCAGAACACCAGACATGGTTCAGCTTCTCTAGAGAAAAAACAGCTGAAACGACAGGAAATAATTCAATTGGATACTAGTGGTATTACTGGTCTGTTGATAACCCTCTGAGAAAAAATACCTTTGGCACTACTAAGATGTTGTTTGTCTTAAATACCAGTTATTATGTCATCCTGAATTTATATGTGGAAACGAAACTGTTAGTTTCAGTGAAACTCTGCCTATTCAGTTACTTAGTGCCCAAGCCCACAGTGACAAATGCACCTACAAGGACATCTTAGGCAACCCTGTCAATGTATAATCTTTAGTGGTCTAGTGGTTTAAGGGACTGTTTCTCATTGTATTTTACCATGTCCTGATGCCGGTTCAACTCCCACTGTCAGCAGTAATGTATGTAGTCAGCTGAAGCAGATTTCTTTTTTTTTTTATATTTTTGTTTTATTGTTTTCTGTAACATTTCCTGTAACTCTTAAGATCTTTGAATTTGGTCATTCCTAAGCAGCATTTTAGTTGGTACTCTGCTCACCTCACATGGGCTCACACTGGCTCAATAAACAAGGAAAAATGCAAAGCAGACTAGTCCTTTTATTTTAAACAATTCACCAATAAAGGGTTGAAAACATAATACTGACAAGTGTAGCGAAAAATGATGGAAAAACAAAACAGCTACTGCTACAACCAGAAGTCAAACCAGCGCAAAACAGCATACCAGCCTGACACTCCAACCATTAGACTATCACAGCTGTTACAGAATGATAGTTGCTTAACACACATATTCTCATCTGGCCGTTACATGTGTGTGGATAGAATGCAAGGTTTTTATCGCAGTGTTTTGTCCCCAATGCAGAAGTCATTTGTCTGAGTATCCACTCTGGTACAGATGGAGGTTTAAAGCAGTCATCTGTGACATGAAGCCATATTCTCAACAGGAGCATGAAATGTCGATGTAATGACTTATATTTTAAGAGGACACCCTAACCCTAACCTCCAAACCGCTCTACACCTGAAACTAGGAGAAAGTGGGCGTTAGTGACCGACTTCCAGGGGAGGCGAGTCCCAGAGCCAACACTAGCTTTATAGGGAGGTTCAGGGCCTGATGATGCACTTTGTTTCCATCTACGCTTTTACAGGTCCTTCAAAAGAAACCAGGGGAAATTGCCCCTGAGAAAGGAAAACGCAAGAATGGAACCAAAAATGGTTTTGGAGGTATTTTTCATGACGAAATAACGTCACTTAGTAAAAAGCTCCACAAAGTGAATTTTCCATGATAAAGCCCCTTTAACCAAAACTTTATTTACACCATACCTCTAAAACCAACTACTGGAGCTTAGTAACAGTGTGACAAAGGGAGGACCTGGCAAAATGTCCCCACTTTTATAAGTGAAGTGTAATTGGTCCTCAGTATGTATTATAGACAAGAACACACACACACACACACACCAAAAAACAAATAAATTTGCTTTCCTGAGACAACCTTATACAGTAAAATCCTGTTCATGCCATCTTGCACCTCGCTGATTGACATAAGCCTAACATGTGTACTACGTCTGCTTTAAGGATGGCTTCATGAGCTGGGCAGACGTATGGACACTCCGTACATAAACAACACAGTGGGCGGCCCGACCGTACACAGCTCCTACATTGCTGCCCTTTACTTCGCTCTCAGCAGTCTGACCAGTGTGGGCTTCGGAAACGTCTGTGCCAATACTGATGCAGAAAAGATATTTTCCATCTGCACCATGCTCATTGGAGGTATGTTTGACACCAGATTTTCATTCTTCCTCGTGTGTCCTGGCATAATGGTGCCACTGTTTGTCACACCAGTACAAGACATTTAACAAGAGGAGCTTAATTGGCTTTCAAGATGCAATTGGTTGTCATCTCACAGAAAAAAAGACCATTAGTTAAGGAGGCAATTATACGTGCAGAAACCCATGAGATAATTATGGGTTTATTTTACTGCTTGTTGGATTGGTATTGTGAATGCAGCTGTAATTTGCTGCTGGTTAAATTAAGCAAATAATCCATGAGAAGTATAAAGCAGCAGCTAAGCACCAAGAAAACAAAGTAACAGCTATAGACGTTGAATTTCTGGTGGTTTCTCACTCTCAGGCCCCAATGAGTTTGTAGATATTTTGCATAATAGAACTTCTAATGAGTTGTAGTTTTTGTTATGATGTTATAATTTTGAACCACAGTAATTTAAAAGGTCACTTGTATTGGGCATAGAGGTTTTCCTTTTACAGATTTAAGCTCTACTCATTAGCATTCAGCTGCAAAGACAGAAGATGAGTCTGTTTCTGACTGCTGTGAGCCTATCATCAGTCTGTCAGCTAAATAAAAGACCTTATTGACTTAATTTGTCTCAAAAGTTACGAAATCCTGTAAACATTTGGTTTGACGTTAATGTACCTGTCTCTTGTACTCTTTGCTTGTCGCAGCAATGATGCACGCTGTGGTCTTTGGTAACGTGACAGCCATCATCCAACGCATGTACTCACGCCGTTCTCTCTATCACACACGTATGAATGATCTAAAGGACTTCATCCGTGTTCACCATTTGCCTCAGCAGCTTAAACAACGTATGCTGGAGTACTTCCAAACCACATGGTCTGTCAACAATGGAATAGATGCCAACGAGGTAGCAGTCTCTTTCATTTTTGTTGTCATGGAATACTTCTATGCCATATCTGCCTTTAAGTGACTTTTAAATAGAGGTCTCATATATTTTCTTCAATTAAATCAACTTTAAATTGATAATTTATGTTATTTGTGGTTTTGTTCAGCATGGCTGCAAATACACTAGCAGTGGATGTTGTATGGCTGCTACACAGTCCAGACACTCCTTACCTATCAGTGCCACCCCTCATCAAATCTATCAAATATCCTCAGCTCCTGCACGACTTTCCTGATGAGTTACGCGCTGATATCGCTATGCATCTGAATAAGGACATCTTTCAGCTGCCGGTCTTCAGGGGGGCCAGTCGTGGCTGCTTGCGCTCACTCTCTCTTCATATTAAAACCTCTTTCTGCGTACCTGGGGAGTACCTGATCCGTCAGGGTGATGCACTGCATGCCAACTACTTTGTCTGCTCAGGTTCCCTGGAGGTGGTGAAAGACAACATGGTGCTTGCCATCCTTGGTTGGTATTAAGGTTGATGTTTTTTAAGTTTTATGTTTAAATTTATAATCCAGTGCAGACAGTGATCACGATTACTTTGGGTTTTTAGGAAAAGGAGACTTGATTGGGTCTGAATTACTTGGGGCTGACCAGGTGATCAAGACTAACGCAGATGTGAAGGCTCTCACTTACTGTGATCTCCAGTGCATCAGTCTGCAAGGCCTGAGGGAGGTCCTGGAACTCTACCCAGAGTATGGCAGTGTGTTTGCCACTGACGTCCACAACAATCTCACATACAACCTACGACAAGGCAGCCAGGATGAGGTACCAAACGCACACTCAGACATCACAGATGCTGTCTTAATTCCCTTTTTGTATTTAAATTCTAACCATTATTATTATACCTTTAAATCAGGTTGCAGGTGTCATTAAAATGATCCTCAATCCCGTTTTGACCTGATGCTAGGGGTTTGACCAGAAAGCCATTCTTGTTGATTCAGTGGGTAGAAGAACAGGAAGAGGAGCCACTCAGATCTAGAAGGCTCTTGATTATTGTAATAATAGAATAGAAAAACCCTTAACTGTCCCTCAGTAGGGAAATGTTGGTGTCACCGCAGAATTTACATTTGCATACAGGAGCAAAATTAGGAGTCAAAGAATAAAGGGTAAGGACTAAATAAGAGTAAAGAGTAAACAAGAAAAAACTTTAAAAAGACAATTAGCTACTTTTTCATATTTTTAAATAATTTTCTTGAGCCTGCTAAAATGACTGCTAAAGCAAAGGTGCTTAGTATCCATTTAAAGGAGGCCAATCATGCTATTTTAAACCTTTTGAGAGCAGAGGTAGACACAGTATATGATAAAATATTACCGTTTGCACTATTGAGATAATTTATCTTAAATACGAGTTATTTTTGTCAGCCTGAATTTATACTCTGTCCTTTGTTTTGGGGAAGCTCCGCCTCCCGTTGGTGTCATTACGTGCATTTTTATAGACAGGATGCGTGGTTTTTATGGCACTGTTTTGTCCCCAATGCAGAAGTAATTTGTCAGAATAACCACAGAATACCCAGGTTTCAGAACCAGGACCAGAACAGCTTCAGGGGAGAAGAAATGCCTGTTGACACAAATGGGCTACTTTCTTCCATTGGCAGGAAAAATCTTCACATGACCAAATTGCAGCTGAGACAGGAAAATGCATGAATGCGGCCAAAAAATGTGTTTTGCGGTATTTCTCATGAGGAAATGACAACATATCATGGTAAAAAGGCTCAAAAAAGTGGATATTCCTTGATATGGCCCCTTTTAAAAATCACAATACTAAATATAAAAATACTATGGATAAAAAGCAGATATTCTGGCATGTCTGACTGAAAATCTAAATGATGGCCTAATTTTGTGAGGTGTTATATGGCCTTTAAAATCTGTTAGCAATCATTTGTCTGTCTGTCCCCATTGTACAATTCCACTTTGTTGAAAACACTCGGCTGATGTGCAAAAAAACACAGAGGCATCAGATATTTAATAGATATACATGTGGATAATTCTCATATTTTGCCACATTGCCTTCAGGTTTTTATGAATTCTATTTCTTTCCTTTATCTCTGTTGAACACAGTTTTGTATGATTTTGTATATTACATTACATGCTGAGATCCAGTTTATTGAAACACAATTACCAGGAAAATTCAGAAACAAAGTTGAGTGCTTTCATGACCATAAAAAATAATTATCTAAAGTAATTATCATTAAAAGGAACACCGACTATTAAGTCACGTTTGCGCTAAAACATATACTTTGCTGTCACAAGTAAAAAAACGTGGCATGCCCAAAAATCTAATCAAATCAAATCAAATTAGCCTTTATTTATAAAGCACCTTACAGGCATGAAACATGCCACCAAAGTGCTGCACAATTGAAATAAAACATAAAATCAGCAGGGACAATTAAAAACCAACAATATAAACATAACAGAATAAGAGCATGTAGCTATATCAGCAACAGCTAACCCACAGAGTTAAAAGCCAGATCATAAAAGTAGGTCTTTAACGTCATTTTAAAAACCTCTGAGGAGAGCTTAACAGTTAAGAGAAGGGCAATCCAATATTCTGATAATAATATGTGACATGACTGAGAATAAATCATTATTACATCATCAAGTAGACTGTTTTGGTTTATTTAAGATCTGTAATAAGGTATTGGTTTATTCATTACTGTAAAGCAGTCAAGACTTTTTACAATCACTTTAGACAAAACATACATTATATAATGTAATTGTAATTAACCTGTAAAGTGAAGAAATCATTTTATGAAACAGAATAATTATTTTTCTTAAAGTGAGTTATTAGTCACATCTTCTCTTGGAGCTTTGTGTAGCATAGTGTGGCTTCCTGCTGATAAGGAAGTCAGAAGACTGTTATGTGTTTCCCCATAACAAGGCTAGAGGTGGTAAACAGGGTATTTGTTATGGGATGAAAAGCACACAGCATTCCAGACAGATGACTTGCCGGACAATTCAATGTCTGGTGACCTCTGACCCTACAAGGCTTTCTTAAGCTACAGCAGCATTATTCCATTATTTTCAGATACTCCGTGCATCACTGCACTAAAACTTTTAAGCAGTTTGTCTCAATTAGGATGTTCCTTAGACAATGCTTGTAAGCATCCATGGCTGGGTTAGTGCAGGGCTTCCAAATAGAAACCAGATGAGGACAAGTCAAAGACTGTAGCTACACTATGAAAATCACAAGTTCAGTTCAGTGGACTGTGTATCTCTTCACCTTACTGTTTTATGAATATAAATGGCATACATAAATTGCTGCAGTCAATACTTAATTTTTTCAGGTCTTACATGTATGCCGGCTCATATTGCCAGTTTACCTGGTGGCTGGCTAGGGAGAAGAATCCGCAGTCGTCCCATCTTGTGCTGTTAACAAAATAAGGATAGTCTACCCTGAACTAAGCGGCATATATACAAGGTTTGACACTGCAGATGTTGTTCATGTAGAGGTAGATGAGGCACGGACACATTTTATTGACATGCAGTTCATAGTTCATTGCTTTGTTCTACCACATTATCAATAGCTTGACAAGTTAAAACTTCAGACTAAACGCTATATCAGCAGTGGGCCATACAGCAAAACATACCAGTGTTTAGCCAAGTTTTTTCTTTTACACAGAAAACTCATTTTATCATCTATCAGCTGCATTTGACACTATCAACCATGGCTTACCTTTGTCTATACTCACTAGCATGGGCATCACAAGGAAAGAACGCTCCTTGTTTGAATTGTACCTCACAAGACTATCAGTCAGTGTATCTTTGCTCTGACAATCTTCTGCTGTTCACCATCTTGCCAAAGGAGTCCCCCAGGGCTCTGTACTAGGACCTTTTCTCTTTGCCATATACACCATCTCGCTGGGTGAGATCATTCGATCATATGGCTTCTCCTACCACTGCTATGCCGACGACACCCAGGTCTATCTGTCATTCCTGACAGATGACCTCACAATCTCTGTACGAACCTCGAACTGTCTTTCTGACATATCAAGATGGAGGAAATCCCACCATCTCCAACTCAACCTCTCTAAAACTGAATTACTTGTCATCCCAGAGAAATCATCCATACAGAACAATATCTCAATCCAAAATGATTCCCTGTCTCTGGCTCTTTCAAAGGCAGTTCAAAAAGTGGATGTTGTGATTGATGACCAGTTGACTGTAAAAGATCACATAGCCTCTGTTGCTCGTTCATGCCACTTCACGCTGTATAACATATGAAAGATCAGACCGTACCTAACACAATATGGTACCCGGCTCCAGGTGCTGTCATGTGCCGGGGTGAGTGCTCCTCTCATTTTTGTTCCATCTTTGAGCTGCTGTGTTTCAGGAGAGGGAGGCTCCAGCTGCAGCTCATTAACAATCAGTGGGTCCAGCTATAAGAGGAGGAGGAGAACACATCTCGACGCCGGATGATTAACTGCAACTTGGTAGTTCCAGCCCTTTGTGTCTCCAGGTTAACTCTAGTGATTTTTTGGATTTTAGAACCCTTGTGGATATTCTTGTGCTTACCTGTTCCCAGGATTTTTTGGATCGTTTGTGGACCTTACCTTGACTCCTCAGGACCTTACCTTGACTCCTCAGGATCTCCTTGGACTTCTGAAGCTTCTGGAGCTTCTCTTTTTTTCCTGTGGCTCCTCTGATTGACTACTTGGACATTTCCACAATCCCGCTGGATTACTCACCTGTGCCCCATAAATCTCCTGGACGCAGCATTCACTGTTCTCCTCTCCTCCCTGCCGGCCCTCTCTCCTGCTCTCTTCGCGCCCCCTCTCCTGGACACCCCCTCTTGGATTCACCCGACACTCAACCTACCCTCCCCAATTCCTCAGCCCCCAGCTTCCCGTAAGTCTTTACTCTGCACCCTCCTAGTTTAGACTTACCTCCCTGGACTCACCTGTTCCTCTGCTCTCCCCTCCTCAGACGCTGTGGTTCCGTTGCAATCCCCACTGGACCTTATCCAGTGCGCCCTCAGTTCCCAATTTTTTAAATAAAATTCTTTAATTCTTCGAATTGTCTCGTGGGTGGTGAATTCTGCATGTCTTGGGTTAAACTCGTCCCCAAAACCATGTCAGGTGCATTCTACTGTCATCTCCCGCCTCAACTACTGCAATGCCCTTCTAACTGGTCTTCCAGCCTGTACTGAGACCTCTTCAAATGGTCCAGAATGCAGTGGCGTGTCTGGTCATCAATCAGCCTAAAAGAGCACATGTCACCCCTCATTCTATTAAGCTCCATTGGCTACCACCAGCTGCATACATCTAATATTGCTAACACTAGCATACTAAGTCCTGGATGGTATGGCTCCTATCTACCTGAATCCTCTTGCAAAGGCTTACGTCATGTTCCACAGATGTAGAATGACCTACCAAACACTACTAGAACAGGGGTGTCCTTGTCGATTTTCAAGAAACTCATGAAGACCCAGCTCTTCAGAGAGCATCTTCTAAACTAGCACCCTCCCAGCACCCATCCCTTACTCTACTGCACACTCTTTGTTCACTTCCCTCTTGCATTCATCATTATATTATTGCTATTATGATTCATTATGCTGTCTCACTGCCACCTAGAATTGACTGAACAGTGTTTGTTGTTAGCCTCAAGGGCAACCTGCTGGCTTGATTATCACCTGTAAGTCGCTTTGGACAAAAGCATCTACTAAATACACAAACATAAAACTCCAGATGTAAGTGTCCTCAAAAATATGTTTCAACTAGTAATTCATACACCCAATTTAATGTTTATCATAATACTTAATAATACTC